ATCAACATGAGCTTTAATTTTGTTACTTATTAGTTTCTCCTAAGATGAATAACTAATTAATTAATTTTATTCCTTTTTATGAGTGCATGGATTCATGCATCCATAAATAATCTATCTTATTCTAGTATTTAAATTTATTTCTAGAATGGAACATTTCTTCAAATAAGACCATCATTATTTGGTTTTATCAAAATATGCATGATTCATTCACTTATAATTAAAAGAATAGTTTAACTGTTATTCTTTTGTTAGGACTAAAAACAAGTCAACATTTGATAAAACATAATTAGACAATTATATATTATTTTAGTTTTTTTTACCTTTAATTTTATTATGTTAAGAGAAGACTTGTATGTTATTGTTGTTGTTTTACTTTTAGCTTAGTATGTGCAACTCATTTTATAATTATTTATAGTATGACAAATAAGTTAGTCTTAATTTATTTGGACTAACTTGGGTTTCTGTGTTTAATTTCTGAAGCTCTGGAACAACTCAGGGGAAGCAAAAGTTTGTACCATTCACTGATGACATGTTTCATTGTGCATTGTTCATATTTAAGGCCTCCTTTGCTTATAGAAACAGGTAATTATTTCATTTTATAATGTACTAGGTTTCTAAAAACTTAAAATTAAATAAGTATTCATATATGTTGTAAAAATTAAAAATTATAATACGTCATTACTTATTTGTTCATAAATCATCAAAAGCACGCCTATTATTCTTTGGATATTAAAAAATCATATAAGTACAAGTAATATTTTTATTTTCTATTTTTATTACCGCGAATACGTATTCATTTTAATCATATCCTCCTTCGAGAGTTAAATTTGATTTTGAGTTTTTAATTGATGTCCATCTTTGCCCATATATTATTATGTATGCACGGAGTATAACTTATATGTAGTACAATAATTCTTTGAAAATATATATATCAAATTTTTAAAAAAAAACTTGTTCAAGCCTATATAGCTTGATAATATACTTTCGTAATATAAATCAAAATATAATACTTCTTATATGAACATTCAATTAATTAATGGTCAAGGTTAACAATATATGACTTTAATTAAATTCAATCCCTCAAACATGTTTTGAGTTGCTAAGCTATATTCCGTATAAAACTCATCCCCTGCTCACAAAACTTTGCCATTTACAATTAATTTATGAAGTATGGTTGATGATGAAGTCATATATACACTCCTTAACAATATTGAAACTAGTATTAATAATTATATATAATTTATATTTTTACAAATTACACTTGACATTCATTGAAATTTGCAAAAACCGTATTTGAATATGCTTTGATTTTAAGAAATTATGAGCGTACTTTTGATGACTTATGTATGATTCTCTAAAACTTTTGTGTTATGAGCTGAGCGTAGTTATATGTGAGGAGTGATATTATAAGGAAAAAATCCTGTGAGCCACATTATGTGACAATTTAAGAGTAAGATGAATTTAAAAGTGGTTTAGTCTTCCGAAATCATGCTTAATATAAAAGTCAAGGAATAGCGCAGCTCAAAATTTTACATTTAATTTGGTTTGTAATTTCATAAGTGATTAGGATAACTTAATAGTGATAAATCACAAGTATCTCCACTCTCTTGTTATTCCTTTATGCGCTTAAAATATTAAAAGTGTGTGGTACGTTATCTATGTTTTACTTAATATATTTTTGTATATCTATATTACTCAATTGATTTGCAATATTGCCAATGTGCAGAGAATTTCCAATTGGAAATGGAAAAGTTTTGCAATTCTTATACAGTAGCAAGCAGCTGAATAGCACCAAGAGTGGGTTACCAGCTGCCCCAATATCAGCTCATGTGGTCAATAACCCGCAGTACAGCCAAATGTTACAGGGAATGAAGGCTCCCAGTTGCAGCCCTAGTGAGGTGATCTACAGCTCAGATTTTCACCAGTCATTATACTGTCACCTTCTTTGCGGACTCGTTTTTCATGACCAAATCCATTTCATAACCTCCGTGTTCGCTCACGGCATTGTTCTTGCCTTTCGAACCCTCGAACAAGTGTGGGAGGAGCTGTGCACCGATATTCGTGAAGGCGTTCTTTCGAGCCGCGTCACGATCCCCTCCGTTCGGGATGCCATGTCATCAAAGGTCCTCGTCACGCCCGACCCTGAGTTGGCGGGCACGATCTATGAGAAGTGCAAGGCACTGATGGAGAATGGGTGGTATGGACTGATCCCGGAGCTGTTTCCTAATGCAAAGTATATTAGTTCAATCTTCACTGGGACCATGCAGCCTTATGTGAAGAAGTTGAGGCATTATGGAGGGGAGATGTTGCCTTTGATGAGCTCAGATTATGGGGCTTCTGAAGGGTGGGTTGGGTTTAATGTGAACCCTAAAGATCCACCAGAGGTTGCTTCCTTTGCAGTGGCCCCAAATGTAGGGTACTTTGAATTTATTCCTTTGAAGGATGGTTTGGAGTTGGAACCTGTTGGTTTGACCCAAGTCAAAGTTGGGGAGGAGTATGAAATTGTTCTCACAAATGGCACAGGTACACCCCTTAAATGCTTTTACTAACTATTTAATTAAGAGTTTATGGTTTATGAAATTGATCGAATCCATTTTATACTATTAATTAATCTGATAGTCGTTTGATATAATTCCTGATTTTTTAATTCCAATCTCATAACAATAACAGTTTTATTCTCTTAGGAAATTGAGAAAAATCCTTAAATAGAACTAAAACACAGACAAAATACATAAATAAGATCTCCATTGTTTAATTTTTAACTAATATACGACTCTTCACTTCTAATCAATTGAGAAAGTTTTATGCTTTTATACTGATCAAATACTCCGCAAGTCATATATTGATAATAAAATTATATGTGCACTTCATCTATGTTTTAATCATATTTTGAGCATTCCTTTAGAATTATATGTGGTACATGAACTAAATATCATGAAAGAAATTGCTACAAATATAAATAGGATAAAAGTAATTCACAAGAAAAGTGTGTCAATAAGAGGAGCACATTCTTATCATTCTCATTCCATGCTAAAAGTATGATTCATTTAGTCACAACAGACTGCTCAACGTAGTCAAAACGTCTTTTGATAGTGAAGAAGTGCTGTTTTGATGAGCAAAAACGATGTTTTATTCGGTGGATTAAATATATAGGACAAATAGGACAAGATTTATTCGATGTTTTGGAGTATTTCATTTTTGGACACTTTCTATTTATTTCTTAGACAAGATTTCTAAATATATAGGACCAAAGTGTAACACATTTTAATTTATCAAATAAGAGTATATATCAGTGATTATTTTCAAAATAGGACTATTTCTCTCCTAAAAGAAAAAACTTTGTTTTTTATTTATTTTTTTCATCAGTCCTGTTTTGGAAAGAAAGCATATATAATCCTACTTTAGAATTTTGTTAATGTTTTACTCATATTTGAGCTTCTATTTAAAGTCTTAAATCTATTCATGCTTGACCTTTTTATCAACAATGTTGTATTTTGACCAATTATATATGTATAAAAAATTACTACGTATTAAATATTAATGATATGAACATACAATGTTTGTGGTAAAAAATACTCTCATAAAAATATAGATTTTATGAAATTCACCGAAACATACATTCAGGGCATACTAGGCTCCAATATATCCAAAATTTGTACCAACCCAGCCCATTATACTCTTCTGGCTACCCAGACTGGCCGGACAAAGTTTCAGGCCAAAAAGGTTACGAAGAAATAAGAATTGAAATGACAAACTTGATGGCAGGGAAAGAGTATATAATGTACTATAAGTACATGATGCATTATCTAACCCTGATGCAAACATGCAGGAATGTATCGATATCGGCTGGGAGATATAGTGAAGGTGAAAGGCTTCCATAACTGCACCCCACTGCTCCAATTCATTGGCAGGAAAAGTCTTATCCTCAGTATCGACATTGACAAGAACACAGAGGAAGATCTCATACTCTCTGTGGAAACAGCTGCAAAAATCTTATGCAGCAACCCATCATCCAAGATTGAGTTACTGGACTTCACAAGCCATGTCAACACATCATCATATCCAGGCCATTACATTATCATCTGGGAATTGAGTGGGGAGGCAGTTGATCATCAAGTTCTGCAAGAATGCTGCAACTGCTTAGACCTTTCTTTTGCAGATGCTGGGTATATTGTCTCTAGAAGAGTCAAGACCATTGGTCCGCTGGAGCTTCGGGTGGTGAGGAAAGGGACATTCAACAAGGTTCTGAATCACTTTGTCGGTCTGGGAGCTACTCCAAACCAGTTCAAGGCTCCAAAGTATATCCCAGAAACTAATGAGGCAGTTATTGGGATATTAAGAGACAATGTGGCTATGACTTTCTTTAGTACTGCATATCCTTGAATTTGTAATAACCAATGTCCGTGCTTGGCTCCAAATAAAACACAAAACATGGGAGTACTACCTTTTTTGTGGGACATAAGTTTTAAAGTTTACTATTCCTATAGTCAATGGAGCATAATCTATTCTTAATACTTCATATATACTATGATAATTGAGCATTTATAATGTTAATTCATCTTTGAAGATATCTAAACTAGTACTGATAATTTAATTTACGTATTCATAAATGACAATAAGATTAACGTTCAATTAAAACTGAATTTGAACATATGATATAAAACTCATAGAAAACAACATACTAGAAGAAAGCTAAACTGAACGCAAACTAATAGTTCAATTGGGACAGAGAATGTATTATTTCATGGTGCTCTAGTTTATGTCTGTTAATACTGGTCTGGTTATATCTAATATCATATTATGTATAATTTGTTCTTAGTTAATGCTAGTCTTCCTAATCAAGTGGAGTCTAGTTGGGAACAGTTTGGTATGTTCCAATCGAGCCTAAGCTAGTTTTTTTTTCAATTCTTCATAATCTGGTTTGCCCGTACTCTTCAACCTGATCAATTTAGTTATTCAAAGATCAAATAGTGGTGAAGAAAAGAACACAAGATATGCATACTGCCTGTCATGATGTTGTAGTGCATTGTCCCATTAACCAAACATTCCTAAAATAATACCTTTGCAAGTTAATCAATTTAACATTATCATTTCCCTGACCGCACAAAGTAAACATGTTCATATACTAATGATAGCAACTAGAGATGCACCTGAAAACAATGTAAACTATATCGATCCAACTTTCACATTCATGATGACTTCGGCACCAAAATTTCGGTTGGATTGAGGCATCCTCGGAGTTTGTCTTGTCCAAGTTGGGCTCTTTCATTATCACCAAAACCAAGGAGTTGTCCCCGATTGGTGATTACTATGGTGTGGTACAGTGCGGTGCTAATCTGAGATATGCGGTGGGACCGCAGGCTGTCGAGGACACACGGCCTCACCACTTTATCAGATGCTCCTCTGTCAAGGAAACCAAGGCTACCAAAACTCATCCATCCAAAACCAAAGACACGGCCATTATCTACCACTACAAAAGTCTTTCTCTTACTTGCACAAACCTATCATGTACACCAAAGCAATTTTAGGGTCCATTTCGAGCATCGAATTGCGATGAAAACATAGTAGATAGAAAGTTATAGAAGAAACTTGGTGAGAAGGAAAATAATGAGAAAAGTAATGTATTGGTTCAATTCAATAATTTTATGCTTTCTATTTGTTTAGTTTCATTTTTAAATTTATTTCTGATATATAAATACAAAGAAATCTACATGTGTAACAATTGAAAAACATAAATCATACTTCATTTTCCTTCGGATTTTGGATTTCCGAGGGAAAACCATATGCATCTATGCAAGAAAATAACTTTTTGAACATTTTCTTTCTTTTCCATAGCACTTTCCAGGATCCAAACGTAAGTACGTAACCTTAGGGTGGCCTAGTGATGCACGACGGGAAGGTGGAAGTTCATGCTAAATGTGGATTGATGACAGAAAATGAGAAGACAGCTATTGATGAGTCTAACAAATATTTTCTTTTATTTAAAGTGAGATATATTAAGATCTAAAAAGAAATAAGGGAAGTTTAGACTTCGCACACCATGATTTGAAACCTCTTATTACTCACTCCATAACCATAAAAAATAAGATCCAAGTCAAATAATGAGATCAACCATGTGGTGCAAGTTCTGACACAAATCAATAACATTGGGGATCAAATGTTTCAAATCAAGTGACTTAAAATAATAATCCCATCATGTTCGAAAGATAAATTAAGTAACATTTACTTGGCAAAATTACATAGCATCTCCCAAAAACTTGTGGTTTCCAGATTACCAACTAAACATTCCTCTAAGAAACAGTCATCTCGGTTTTGGAAGTATGAAGCAGATAATACTGAGATGATAGAGCTTAATCTTCTAATGTAGTTAAAATTTGTATGAAAATTAAGTATATCTGGCACATGAATGGTGCTTAGAGTTAATAAGGCCTAGAAAGAAGTGAAGGTGAAATAAAATTCAAAAACCTGGATGGCAAGGTGACTCTTAAGGCTGTCCACAAGTTCTGGAGTAGTCTTATCAGTCTCATTCCCATGCCCAAGTGCACCACAGTAACCTTTTCCCCAGGTGTACACCTGCAGTGACCAATCAAATCAGAGACCGTACGGGTTAGATATGGGAAGTGATTATTGGTGTTTTGAATGTGGTGGCTGATGCTACTAGAGGTGGATGTTGGTAGGGAGTAAAGACGCAAGGTGACAAATAATCTAGAAAGACGAGATTTTATAAAACAAACATCAAATCTCTCCATGCCTCCTATGCTAAAGGAAGCTAGTATTTATAACCTATGAAATATTTAAGGCAGATATAATTAATAATCAATTATTTATGATACATTTCTATCGTGATCTATTGCTAGAATCTTTCATTTAGGCAAATCTGATTGACTGCGATAGTTTGATTGATTCTCTGATTTCTTTCCTTCTGTGGAGGTTTCCTTGATTTGCTCTATGAGATGTAGAAGAGGATAATGCGCACAGAACACAAAGAGCTATTTTAGAATGAAGCACTTCTCTCAAAAAAAAAAACTTTAGATCGTATTAGGTCTAGCAATTTTCGTTGATTTACAAATGTTCCCAAGAAGGGCCCTGTTTATAGGTTTAGGATGAGCTCTCTAAATCCTCGTGACATCATAGGAATCTAGAGATCTCTTGAATTATATACTTCTAGATTCTACATAGAATTCTCCCATCTTGAAATCTCTAAAATACATGTAGCTTCCCTTGGGTAATCTCTCACGCTTTCGGTAGTAAGTGCAGTTTTTTTATGGATATGCCTTGCCAAGACAGTGGAGCAACACTAAGGCGACTCTCGATAGCTCATAAAACCCAGAAAACAAACAGCCTTAACGGGCTTTCCCCTTCAAACATAGAGTTAATATTGTTTAGACCAATGGCTCACATAGCAGATACTAAACCGATAAGAACAGATAAAGGCCACAAGTGGTCCAGCAAGCACATGGGGAAACAGAAATCCAATCCTTCTATGATGATTACTCACATATCCATTCGAATCGAGTGCTACAACATGTTCATCACCAGCAGACACACGAAGAAGATGAATGCCCTTTCTCTTGAATGATTGGATTTCCCTTGGGTGAAATTCATTGAGCTGCTCCCCATGGCCAAGGCAGAAATTGGAGCCCGATCCAAAAGTGTAAAGTGACCCATCCAAAGCCACAGAAAGGGCGTAGCTTGGTCCAGCAGCAATTTGAACGACGGTACAAAGGAATGCAAGCAGTTCTACACATGTAGGTGTTGGCCTATCCATTGTGTCACCATGACCAAGCTGACCATGAACGTTGGATCCACATGTGTAGACGCGTCCGTCTCTGGTAAGAAACATGGTGAAAGTAAGACCAGCCGCAACCTGAACCAGTTTCAACAAATTTTGAGCCACATATAGCAGAACCTGGACTGGTATGCGAAACTGATATTAATCGCAATTGTATCTATATTGATGAATAAAATATAAACTCATCCAGCATTTATAGAAAATTTGAATCACAAGATTATATTTTAGTTCATTTTAATAAAACTCAAGCCATATGATTTAAGCCGCAACTTAGGGAAATCCCATTAGGAGTATATGTACCTGTTTGCAGGGGATGTGCTTCAGTGACTCTACAAGCTGGGGCCTGAAAATAGTGCGACTTCTGTGCCCGCAACAATAGGACGAGTTATCTCCACAAGTGAATACCTATATAGAATTGGCTAAGATTTATATCCAAATAATGGCATGTCTGGTTGGACCTAACTCGTGCTAAAAGATCCTGAAGACATGAGGTTTATCTCAAACTTATGTACTAAACACAATTAAGATAAAGTGTTCAATGTAAGATTCTTAACGCAACCACTAGGCCAAAAACAAGCTAGACCACTTGAGAGGATGGGTAAAATGTGCCAAACTGACCTCAAACTGAGTTAGGCTACTTGGGTGTCAAGCACACAGACAAAGCACAATTGGATCATATCATATTAAATTGGAGCTATCTCACACCAAAAACGATCATCGAAAGCTGAGGTTTACCTCAAACTTATACTCCGTATAAGACACAAACCTCGTAAACAAACTTATAAAAAACTTTTAGCACCATGATCCCTATCATGGAAGTACAAAATGTTTGTCCAGCTAGTCAGCTACTATGATCAGACATTCAGAAGTATACACAAAGTCACATATCTTACCGTTTATGAAACAAATAAAAAGAGAATAATATGACCGCTACCATGTCAAATAAAGAAAGAGAGAAAATGGCACTCTATCCATACACAAAACACTCAATGAAGTTCTAAATAAGTTCATGATGTAGGCCTTTGATGATTATGAGCATGAACACACCAAGTATTAAGAGCTAATACAGTACTAACCTCCCCAGACTGGGTCACAAAAGCAGCATGATTGTGGGAAGCTGAAACCTGGATGACTTGTACAGGAAAAGCGAAGCTGATGCGTGTAAATTCTACACACTGTGTTTTTTGAGGCCCATGACCAAGAACACCACACAAACTAGAGCCACAAGAGTATACTGCCCTGTCACTAACCATCAAAGTATGATATCTTCCACTTTTAATTTGCATCTGTCGATGACATGTAGTAATTATAAAGACTCAGAGTTTGGAGTTCCTCTTAAAAGGTAGTTCAACACTTTATATGTGAGTTTCTATTTGTATATTTGAATAGTATGGATGACTTGGTACACAATATGGTGGCTCATTGTGGTAGATCATTCTTAAAACTAGTATGCACTTTAGGAGTCTTAACGATTACTCGATTAGTCCGGTCATTTGAGATTGATTGATTCAAATATCATACTCACTCCTAATTATTTACTTACAACGTATTCCTTTTTCAAATAATGTTTTATTACCTGCAACACTTTCTTATTTTGGTAAATTTTTCATCTACAAATACATAACTACTACTACTTCTTCTACTTAGTCATACATGCTCATCTCTCCTTTCCAACATTTAGCACTTTTCCTAAACTATTAACTAAATCTACTATTTCACTCTTAAACTTTATAAAAGTCCTGTAGTTGCAACTTGCAAGTAAATAAATTCCTAATATTTCACTTTTAAAATCCACAAAACCCTACAGTTTCAAGTAAATAATTATGGAGGGAGTATTAAACTCAAGGTCAATTCTTAAAATGTCAACTTTTATGAATGGTCTAAAACCTTAAATATGTTAGTCTATAATCATCATTTCCGAAAATAAGAATTACAAGCAAAAAATAGTTAAACCTCAACATAAATAAGAAAAAAATTCACTTCTGGTTATACAAATATTGTACCGATCCCAGATTTGATCGTTGTTTTACTTTGGTCATATTTGCTACATGACTATTGTTCTTCGCCCGCTGTTGGTCATTCCGAGATACTGTGGGCATATATTCTATAAACAATCTATAATCCCAAAGCAGGCTTGATGAATTAAAAGATGTAGCTTGCATGAAATAGTACATTGCCTGCAGGGGTTTCAACCATGCCAGATGATTGCTCCACAGACTGCAAGAAGCCCAGTAAGCGTTTCCAATTTCCACTACACCGATCCAGAAGATCTTCCCTAGCATTGACCGGAAGAGAGGTATAAATGAGGTTCGAGCCACACAGCTGAAAAGCAGCACACTCTAAAACCGACATCATGTTTTTAGGGAACATCCCATGACTTGGCCTGAGAGCCCTCGAACTCATTTCCAAAGACACTAAATCGATCGCATTCAATCGACCCAACGTCAGGATTTGAAGAACCAAATGCTCCGGCAAGTCTTCAAACTGGTGAGCTGAGCTCAATAAATTGTCCCCCATTTCTATCCACAAAATCAAAATCCGAAAATTGAACTAAATTAAAATAACATGAAAGTTTCCAGAAGTGGATGAAAGCGCGTCAGCCCCAAAAAAAACTGTCAAAACTTCTTAAACGAGAACGGAGAGGACAGCAGAGAGTTTAAGAATAAAACATCATATTTCACGAAATTCGATTAAATTGAATTGAAAACCTCGGGTGTAAGTAATCTCGGGGGCTCTCATAGCTGAAAAGCTAATGAAAAGAAAGAAACAAAACTTAAAAAACTTTACGGAGTAAAACTGCATAATAATTCTCCATAATTTAATTTAAGGGACAAACCGTCAATTTAGCCCCCGTACTATAATGAAAACGCCGATTGGGTCCCCGTACTTCAAAAACACTCAATTGAACCCTCGTACTACTAAAAAAACACTCAATTGAGCACTTTTAGAAGGTCACCAACCGTTTTCCCCGGTTAGGTACACGTGTGGCACTCCACGTGGCGGCTCGTGTGGCATTTCTTTTCTTTTTTCCTTTTTATTTTCTTTTTCTTTCTCTTTCTCTTTCTCTTTTCTTTTCTTTCCTTCTTCTGCTTAGCGTACTGAGCCGTCATAGCCGGTGTAGCCATTGAAGGAATTCAGGGGTTGCCGACATCATGGGGGTTGCTCTTGTTCCAGAGTTCTGTTAGACTTGGTGACATCGCAGAAAATGGAAGTGTACCTTCCGGCAGCAAATTAAACCAACACAGATGCAGTCGTTGCAAAGGCGGCATAATAACTAGCTATGGCGGCTTAATACCCAACTATGACGGCGTAATACCCAGCTATGGCCGCCGCAGACATTGCGAAGGCGGTTGCAGTCCCCAAGGATGATTGGAATTCCCTGAATTCCTCCCCTCTTGTGAAACAGATCTACGAAACTAGATTTGGCGAACTAGAAGAGATAAAGAAATAAAAGAGAAGAAAATTTGCAACTTGAGGATGAAGAAAAGGAAATAAGAAATCACTCTGGAAGACTGATTTGCAGGAGGCCGGCGACCTGGGATCTGGGAAGGAAGAAAACGGGAGTAAAGAAAGAAGAAAGAAAGGAAAAGTAAAGGAAAAATAAAAAGAATAAGAAAAAGAAAAAAAATGCCACCTCTTCTGCCACGTGGAGTGCCACGCGGGTACCTAACCGAGAAACCGGTTGGTGACCTTCTAAAAGTGCTCAATTGAGCGTTTTTTAGTAGTACGAGGGTTCAATTGGGTGTTTTTGAAGTATGGGGGCCTAATCGGCGTTTTCAGTATAGTACGGGGGCTAAATTGACAGTTTTCCCTAATTTAAAATACCAGATCCAAGAATCGTACAGATTTAAATGTTGGCAGATTTTTCTCCGGTGATGGGAGCTGGTGGTGCTGGGGTGGCAAGTGTGACAATGTTTTTTTTTTAATTTTACGTTTTTTAGTTTTTATTTTTTTTAAAAAATATTTTTTTATTTAATAAATATTTTATTAATTTTGTATTATATTTTTACGATTTTTATTTTTTTTTTATGATTTTATTATTAATTAAAACATTTCAAAAGCTACAAGGGTATATATTTGTCCAAACACACATAAATAGTCCTATTAAGGGAATTTAAACAATGTAGTCCTATTTGTGCAATTTTGCCACTTTTTAGTCATGTTTGGGGAATTGACTCTTATATTTTTACTTGTGTCTGGAACGAGATAAAATGAGTTTGTTTTAGTTTTATAGTGTGTGTGTGTGTACTGGCATATGTATGAGTTATTAACTCATTATAAGTTATAACTAACAAAATGTCACTTATTTATTAATTACGAAGTATAACATTGATTGATAATGCATATTTATTAATTATTTCTTATTTTTTAAGTAATTATTGAAACATGTTCTCAATCTATATTTTTATTAAAAGAGTAAAGTTTTCTATAACTCTCGGTTGCATCTAAATGAACATTGTCTTTTTTTCAACCATCTTTACCTAAAAAAAGAAATTCCATAATGCATATTTGTATCCATTAAATTTCATTTGTAGCTTACTCTTCTTTCAAAACTAATAACTACGCATTTCTGTAATTTATTTATTTAATAATGGGTGGGGTCATTTTTTTCAAGATATAGTCTTTCTATGATTTAGAATTGAGCAAATTAATCATTTATCTCATTCTTGAAGAAAAGAGTTTGGAGTATATAGTTTTGTAACATTATGATTCTAATGAGGTTGATGGCGACGACAACATGCCGGCTGCATAACGCGATTGGTAGCAGTCGATTTATTTTTCGTTAATAGATTGAGCTATTGAGGATATTGTGACCTTATTAAGTAAAATAAGTGTTTGATAGATAGTTTATATCGGGATACCACTAGCAGTATCGAGAGAGAAGTCAGAGCAATAAGTAAGAGGGAGAAAGTGTGGTATAAATAAATAATCAATGGTCTGTTACAACTGCCCAAGGCGCTTTTTATACTAGTCTTAAATGTTAGGTGCATTAAATGCATGTACACGTGTAAGTTAGTCTATGAAGGAAAGCCCCCTGGTTGTGTGGGTGGTTGGACGGTAGACACAGAGGAGCTTCTGTTGAGGGGGGGGGGTCGGTACCGTGGCCGAACGTTGTATGACCGAAGGCTATCATGATGAGGTAAAATCTCCAGGCGTATTGCCTGGCCATAATGGAGTGGCGTCCCTGAGTTTGGGGCCTTCGACCATGGTGCCGAAGGCATTCCTTTTGCGAGATTCGGGCTGCATTGTACTCATGCTGCCGTATTCGGGCCACCTGGGCTCATTGGTCCTGTTTAAGGTAGCAGAAGTATGTGGGTCGGAGGTTCCTGGGCTATATGCTACATCAGGAGTCACTCATTCTCTTTTCTGAGAGCTTCTCGAGGGAAAGGGAAGTAGTTTCTCTGAATTTCCCGGAGGTTTTATTGTTGCTGTTGATATTCATGAATTAGTTTTGACATTTTTCGCTTTTTACCGAGGGGAGTCCCCCAACCCCCCACTCCTTGAGGCCGAAGGCATGTTCAGGCTAAAGGCACTACTAGAAAAATGGCTTACAGTGACACTTTTTTAGTGACACTTTCAGATAAAATACTATCAGTGAGATAAAAGTGTCACTATTTTCTAACATTAAAATAGGAGTATCGAACAGCGACACTTTGTAATACGGAGTATCGATCCAGTTTTATTTACGGAGTAACATTTCTAACCCTTCCTTTTTTCTCCCGTCACTTCACTTCCACATTTCTAACCCTTCCTCTTCGATATCCTCCTAGATCGATCGATTGAGGACGCCTGGCTGGCGGGCTGCCTTACATACTCCATCTCCTGGCCAAGTCTTCTTCTTCAGCGATTGCGTCTATTTCAGGTATGTAATCTGTCTCCATCTCCTCCGTAGGCCATCCTTCAATAATACTACGTATCATCGAATTTGGTTTAGTTTTTATTTTTCCTTAATCTGTCCTTCGCCGAAAGTGATTGCGCAGGGGCACTTCGCTCAAAGTCCGGACCGCCGAATTCGTCTCCCTCCTGAGTCATGGTCGTCTCAGCTCTGAGTAGGCAGTAGGCCTCGTTTGGGGAGCCACAAACGCCTTCATGAAAAAAATAGTTTGGCTGTAACATTCATCAGAGAAGAAATCACATTTCCTTTGCACTAACCCTTCTACAACATTTTTTATATTGTTATTTTGTAGTTGTATTTCCCTTTTAACAATTTAACTAGCTACATTTTCACTTGCAAGCTATGCAGGTTAATGTTGTTGACCATTTAGTTACATCGAATCTACACTCCGAGGATTTCTTATGGATCCTATGGAAGCTTTGTGGTCTTTCCCGGTAAGAACAGTCGAGTTTGTGATTTTTATTGCCTTGTATCAAATTAAATAAAATAGAACTTGCAAAAACATTGCATATTTCAGAAATGTAGAATGTGAAACTCTAGGAAAATCATCTATCTTGCATTGTATGTTTGAAATGTTCATATTCACAGTATGGCAGTACATCACTCATGTTTTCTACTACCACATATATACAAGGTTTCCTTGTTAGTGTTGATTCTAAACAACTAGGGAAGTAAAATAACTGAGCGAACTTTGTATACTTGGATTGCAATAGTGCATTTAAGCAATTAGGAACACTCTTATAAACTTATTTTTTTTGATTGAATGTGAAACAACTAGGGTGCATTTTCCTGAGGTAATTGCTTGAAAACTTATTTTTAATGTCCCTTACTGTTCTGATGACGGGATTGAAGGTTTTCTGACTGTGGTGCATTTTCCTGAGGTAATTCAACCCCTTTTCCCTTTTGAAATTTGTTAGGAAGGTAAATTAGGCTGCACTTTTCATTGTGCCATGGGGATTTTTTTTATCATTTATCATTTGGGGCCTTCTCTGTCATAAGAAATAAAAATAATTTCAAACTCCCCTCCCTGTCATATATAGTAGCCCCCTCATGCCTCCCTATACCTCAGTCCCTATGGACAATAAAAAGATCTTTCTTGTCGACTATGTTAAACTTCTATAGGTTGTTGCCGCATTAATAGCAACATTGCACTCTATAAAGGATTTGGATCCGAGCTTCTTAAATGCTGGTACTAAGATCTATATTTCTTTTTGCTATTTGATGTATTTAATATGCTGTCAGCACACATTTCCTACCAATGCTTGAAATCAGTAATGGAGTTCTCTTTCAATTTTCCTATGATAATATGCAGCCAAAATTTTCAACTTGCAGCTGCCTCACCGTTAAATCAGCTGAAATTGTCGAAATTATTGTTTCTGATTTGTCCCCATCCTCCCTGTCATCTTGGATTGAGCACGTGAAGGAGCTGCATAGACTCTTACTTTCTTCCTCCGCTTGCTCTAACAAAAAAGATGCTCCAGCCCACTTGGAAAGATGCTGGCGTAGTTTATCACAGAAGTGGCGCTATTGGTCTTCTACGGTACACTGCTGTGTTGGCTTCTGGAGGAGATGCTCATATGGCCTCAACAAGTGTTTTAGCATCTGATATGATGGACATTGATAATTTCATTGGCGATTCTTCTAGTACTTTTGAGAGTAATGTGATTGACAATATTCTTGGGAAACACATCACTGAAAAAGATTTTCCTGGGGTTATTCTTCGTGACTCTTCCGTTGTTCAGTTGACAACTGCATTCCGAATTTTGGCATTCCTCTCAGATAATCCGGTATAGGTTTTTATATATGTTTTGCTCACACACACATCTGAGATACTAGTTCAATCTAGCTTTTCTATGCATGGAGGCAATCTTCATAATCAAAT